ATAATATTTATTTTGTTGAAATTTGCTTTAATATCACTTACCTTATTATTATTATCATTATTTTCTCGGTCACACTGACGGTTGATAAAAGCGCACACTTATCATTAATAATTGTGTAACTTGTTTTTTTTTTTTTCAGTCGAGCAGAAGAATCCAACGTTGTAGTATGCATGATATAGTCGAAAAATTTTGGCATTGACGATGAACCTTTTCATGAACGTGTTGGATTATTATTATTATTATTTAATAAAACCTATAAATTTAAACGACGATTAACGATATTAATAATAATAATAATAATAATAATAATAATAAAACAAGGTAATTATAATAATTTTTTTTTAATTAATTTAAAATATTCATTCATTATTATTATTATTATTATTATTTTTTTTTTTAAAATAAGAATTATTTCATTTTTTTGTTGTTGTTGTTGTTGTTTATTATTAGTGTATGTAATTTACTATATGAGATAAATTTTTTTTTTTTAAACAAAATAGTGTGGTAATAAATTCACTTGTGTAGTACCTTAAAATAAAAAAAAAATTTTTTCTTGTTTTTTCAGTGACGAAATTAAAAAATATTTAAAAAAAAAAAAAAAAAAAAAAAAAACAATCGAAAGAATTTAATTAGTTGACAATGAGTTCGAAACGGATTCGTTTAAAAAATGCATTATGGCAAATAATCGCGTCATTGATTGCCCCCAGCGTTTCAATTTTATGCGGTAAGTTTAATTTTAAAAAAAAAATTCATTTCCTATTATTATTATTATTATTATTATTATTATTATTATTATTATTATTATTATTATTATTATGTGTAAACATGAGACCCCGTTCAATCAATCAATCAATCAATCACATTCAATCAATCAATCACTTATTCATAGCACATTTTTATAATTTCAAATCATCGATCCAATAATAAATTTCACATCCATTATAAATTATACCATTTTAAAAAAAATAATAATCCCAATTAATAATTAATGACGTCATGATGCTTAACGTTACATTTATCCACGTTAACATGCATTAAAAAAAAAAAAAAATTGTTTATTTAATGTAATAATAATAATAATAATAATAATAATAATAATAATAATAATAATTTTCTAAATGGTAGCCATTTTTTTTTTTTTCAAATATAGCATGTTACAATTAAGGTAATAATAATAATAATAATAATAATAATAATATCTTTTTCAAATAAAATTATTTTTTTTTTTTTTAAATAAACTACCATTTCAATATTTCACAAGGAAAAATCTAATTTTGGTATTATTATTATTATTATTATTATTATTACTGATAAAACTTTTGGGTCTTTTGAATACCCTGAACCTGAACCTGAATACAGCCCTGAATACAGCCCTGAATCAAATTTACTATAACAAACCTAATAGTAACTTTTGGATCGACGTATACATAATTTTACATAAACATTTATTATTATTATTATTATTATTATTATTGTTGTTGTTGTTGTTGTTGTTGAAAAAAAACATGTTTGACATTTTAAGCACATATATAACCTTTTGACATTAACATATCAACGTTAATTACAATATTATTATTATTATTATTTTTATAGAGGGAAAATCTATGCCTAATGATTATTATTATTATTATTATTATTATTAAAAAACGAGCAAAATATTTTAAATGATGATGATAATGATGATTAAATTAATGAAAATTCCCGTGGGATAAATAATTATATTTACCCCTAAATTATTTATATATATTTTTATTATCATTATTAAAAATTAATTGTTAATAACTCACGAGTGTGTACAATAATTAACGTTAGTTAATATCGTAAATTGCTAATTATAAATAAAATGTAATTAATTGGCCATAATTATTTTGCTCATTTTGTAATTATTTCATTTAATAAAAAATAATAATAAAAAATGTCAATAGTTCATTTGTAATATAAATTTGTTTGTACTAAACAAACAAACAAACAAACAAACAAACAAAATCATTTTATTATAATTAAAATAATTGTTTTTTAAAAAAATTTACTGTCGTAAGCAGCAATTTTTGTTTGTTTGTTCGTTTGTTTTTCTGGGGAGCTTTTTTTTACTTTTAGACTTTGATTTTTACATTAAAAAAATAATTTCCTCAATTAAAATTCAATTACGATTCCCGAATTCATACGTATCGATAAAAATTTATCCCGCGGGAATTTTTTTTTTTTTGACCTTTTGAACTTAATCGTACATTTTAATGATTTAGGTGTCAACATGGCGTATTCGACAATTTTACTACCGCAAATAATGAAAGGATATAATTCTTCTTCAATAGCCGAAGACGATTGGGATTTAATTAACGATACCGATTCGAATTTAACGAATCCATTTTTTATTAAAGAATTAACCATTGGACAAGATGAAGCGTCTTGGATCGGTAATTAATCAATTATGTTACATATAAAATCCGACGATTTTTTTTTTTTTTTTTTTTTTAAACCTCCTTAAATTTCTAAATATTTAGCTAGTTTGATGTCTATCGCAACTCCAATCGGTTCACTCCTGGCTGGACCATTAATGGACAGATTTGGAAGGCAAAAAATGTGCGCATACTTAATGATACCAATAATTTTTTCATGGATTTTAGTTGCTACCACAACTTCCAGCGTTTATACCATATACGCAGCTAGAATTTTTGCCGGTTTAGGAGGAGGTATATAATAAAACACCTAATAAAATTTTTCTAATCCAATTATGTACGGTGTTAAAATTTTTTTTTTTTTTTTTTATCCTTTAGGATTATCCACCGTCACGATAGTTTACGTGGCAGAAATATCACATCCGTCCATAAGGCCCATGTTGTTATCATTAACATCAGGTTATTATAAAATAATTTATTTTATAAATTTCCTATCCAATATTTTAGTGAAAAAAAAATTTTTTTTTCTCCATTCCAGTATTCGTTTCGTTTGGAATATTATTAACTCCCGTTTTAAGTTATTTTCTCGACTGGAGATCCGTTGCAATGTGTTGCGGAGGTATGGCGGTCACCATTTTATTATCCGTTTTATTCATTCCCGAATCTCCCTCCTGGCTCGTCGGCATGCAAGCTAATAATAACGATCCCGATAAAGGACTTAAAAAAGCCGAGAAAAGTTTAAAATGGTTGTATAAAAATCAAGAGGTAAAAAAATTTCATTAATATTAATCAATGAGCAAATAATTAATTTTTTTTATCAATGAAATTTTTTTTTTTTTTTTTTGGTAACAGGATTGCAAGGAAGAAATGAAATCTTTGATGCGTATAAAAGATCAAAAACATTCGGAAAAAGAAAATCTTCTCGTTAAAAACCAGAATGGCGAAGGCAGGATAACGTTCGGTTCGTCTCGTGCGTGGAAACCTCTATCAATATTATTAATAATATTTTTTCTGCAACAATTCACGGGTGCTTACATCGTTATTTTTTACGCCATACAAATATTCGAAAAGTCCGGATCGTTAGAATTCGATCAATTAAAATGTCTCATAGTATTAGGTATAATACGATTCGTAATGGCGATCATATCCATGTTTTTATCGAAGAAAGTCGGTAGGAAACCATTGTTGGGAACGAGCAGTCTCGGAATGGGTATCGTTATTCTTATAGCTGCCGGTTACATACATTTCCTTGGTCAAGGACTCGTACCCATTGTATGCCTTTTGATATTTGTACTTTTTGCTTCTTACGGTATGACGACCATTCCGTGGACTTTGATCGGAGAACTTTTGCCCCTTAGCGTAAGAGGTGTTTATTCCGGTGTATCCGTTGCCGTCGCGTACCTCCTAATGTTTATCACGGTAAAACTTTTTCTCATGGTTCTTCACGCAATCGGTATCGTCGTTATATTTATAAGTTTTTCCGCCGTGTGTTTTTCATTTGTATTTTTCGTTTATTTTTTCGTACCCGAAACTTTCGGTAAAACTTTTACCGAAATCGAAAAAGCTTTTAAGTAAATTGACAACGACTACTAATTTTAAATTAATTAATAAAATAAAATTTTATTAAAAAAAAAAATACATAAATTACGTCATTTTTTTTAAATGTGTTAATAGCAATCATAATCAATTTTTATGAATTAATAATATTAATAATAATAATAATAATAATTTTGAAATAAATTTTTTTTTGTTACTTGCATGCCACATGTTAATTAATCTTATTTACGTTTTATGTATTTTTTTTTTTTTTTTATTTACAATTAATCTATGCCGTAAAATCTATACGCGGAACAATGCGTTCAAGTAAATATAAATAATTAAAAATATTTAAATGAGTAAAAAAAAATACACAATCGAATCGATTATTATACTCGTGTGTGTGTGTGTGTGTGTGCGCGCGCGTATGTAACAAATAAATAAAAAATCAATACTGCCAATATTAAAATTATTAGTTATTATTATTATTATTATTGTTCATTTTACATATAATTTGTGCGAATAAAAATAAAATTTTTTTTTTGTATGTATTTTTGTTTGTAATAATAATTAAAAATTAAAAAATCACGAAAAACGAATTGAAAATATCAAAATCAATATGTCGGAAAATGGGGCGCGAGAGGGGGCGGGGCGAGGGGAGGGGCGAAGAGGGGGGGAAAATTCTACTTCCTACCGCGTTAAATATTTAATTTTTTTTTTTTTTTTTTTTTTGTAATAATTATCGAAAGTACTTTTGTTCAGTGCCGTGTAAAAAAAAAAAAATATTTTAACGTAATAAAAGATTTTATTTGTATTTGTAAATTATTATTATCACCATTAAAAACGAACGAGGATTATTGACATCGTATCGTATATTTGATTATTTACTTTTAAAAAAAGTCAATAATATTTAAAGGGGTTATTTTTATTTTTATTTTTTTTTTCGAAATGCCCCATGCAGTAATTTGTGAAAAGCCATTATTAATAAATTATTAGGGTTTTCCCCCTTCCCTTCGCCCCTGGCCCCTTCACTCCCCTACTACTCCCCCTCCCCTGGCTTGGCTTCCTTCCTCCTCGTGAAATTAGAAAGCTTTTTCACAAGTTTACAAACTTTTTAATCGTATAATTGCATCAACGGTTTTTTTTTCGAAATAAGCGGATTTTTTTTTTTCTATGTAATAAGATTTCCACGAAAAAAAAGTTTTTGGTGATTTCGAATTGTGTTTTACGAACAAAAATAAATAATTGTTATGAATGATTGCATTTTTATACATTTTTATACAATACCGAGAGAGGACGAATTAGGTGAATAATGATAAATAATAAATGAAATTGCTTTGCATGACAAAAGGTTTCGTCGGTTCGGAGGACAAATATCCGTTTATAATGGAATTAACAACAGCATTACCACGAAATAAGTGCTGTAGTTGTTTGTTGTCTACCAACAGTGACATTCACATCCAATGAAAACTCTACGTAATTTTTAACATACGATAAATGCGTCAAACGGTGTGTTATGAAAATAATAATAATAATAATAAATTTAAGGATTACGTAAAACACTCGGTAACGGATTAAACATGACGAAAATATCGGATTTATCAATGTTTACCGATGCGGCATTAAATTTTGCCGAAACTTATAAAAAAAGGTAAAAATTTTTTTTTTTTAAAATGTCCGCCAAAACGTTTTGTGTTCTCTAAAATTTGTTTTTTTTTTTTTTTTTAGGCGTCGTCGTAAAAAACTCGGACCTCTCGAAAAACAATTGATAGCAACGTCAATTTTTTTAGGATTACTATTCGTAACATTTTGCATACTTTTTTTCACAACTCATTATTACTGTAAGTCTTTTAATTCGAAAAAATGAGGGGAGTGGGGGGGGGCATTCAAAATTTGTTTAAATTTTTCAGATAACGGTTTGCTTAGAAAAAACAGAGTTTGTCACACGAGCGAATGCATCGAATCCGCCATGACACTTCTTCAAACGGTGGATTTTAAACAAGATCCATGCGTGGATTTTTATAAATACGCTTGCGGTAATTTCGGTACCCATCATCCGTTGAAAGAAAACGATTTGTACAATTCGTGGTTTTCCGAAAAAAATACGCAATTGAATAGAATTATATTAGACATATTGAAAAAACCCGTAACGTCGTACGATTTGAAATCTGTTAAGGACACGAAAAATTTTTACATGTCTTGTACAAATAAAAGTAACGATCGATCGATCAATCAATCAATCAATCAATTCGAAAAATCGTTTGATAATATATATGTAATTTTAAATTACAGGCGAATTAAACGATATGGGTTTGGAACCATTGTACGAAATATTAGAATTATTACAACTTTCAAAATTCGTACCTAATAATGAAACAGCGGAAAATTTCAATTTGGGACGAACTTTAGCATTAGCACAAAAATACTTAAGTCAAGATATATTCGTAACCGTGAGCCTTGCAAAATCATTTTCAACAAACGATAATAAATCGAAACCTGGAACCTACACGAATATATTCAAAGCGAGTACTTCCCCCTCCCCCCCTTCCCCACGATTGAACAACCCTAAATATTTGAAATTTTATCCATGATAATAATAATAATGATTTACAGCTATCGCCCGGTGTTAGTAACTTTGGCTTTAACGATTTATGGAAACGAAGACGACGAGGCAACGTGGCAGCGTTGGAAAATTTGAAAAAAGAAGGAAAATCACCGAATTCGCAAACGATTGATATTTTTACGAAACAAACTAAAAAAGCAAGGATTAAATTCATGACGGATATTTTTAAAAAAATTAACGAGGATTTAACAAACGATTTGGAATCCGAATCGAAAAATAAAAACGTAACGAATTTTTTTTTCAATAAGGCTGTGAAAATAATGGATTTGGCTTCGAATTTGCACAAAGTAAACGCTTTTCCCTTTTTGCGTAAAAAAAAAAAAAAAAAAAAAAAAAAACGACCGAAACAGTAAATTATGTTTGATTTTTAGGCTGTAGGTACGACTTACATCTACTTTAACAAAAGGACTGACGAGGAGGAGGAGGAGGAGGAGGATGAGGATGTGGATGACGATGATGATGATGATTACAACGTACAAAAAAATAAAACCGAACGTATATCGTTTGCAGAATTGGACGTTGTTATGAGAGGAAAAAATGATAACGTATCACTAAGCAATAAAGTAAGTGTCATTAGACAAAATTTCTTTTTCGTTATGACACGATGACAATTAATTTTTTTTTTTTTTTTTTTTTTTTTCATAGATCGATTGGGAAGAATTTCTAACGGTACTTTTGGAAAAATCAAATAAAACATACGATTTATACGACGATCCTTTAATTGTGGAAAATTTAAATTATTTTAAAAGTTTGGGAAAAATACTCGAAACGACAACGGCGGAAACTATTCGTGAGTTTTTTTTTTTTTTTTATAATACTATCGAAGAGATGTGAGGAGTTTTAATGTTTTCACAGAATCGTATATATGGTGGGAAATCGTGGAACAATATGCTAAATACACGACGTCAGACGTGAGAGCAATTTATTACAAATATTATCAAACGGTATACGGAGAAACATCATTATTATCACGGAGTCAAATTTGTACTAATTTAATGAAGAATACAATGGGCGTTGCCTTATCACACGAAATGTCAGTTATCAAAAATTACACGCTCACGGAATTAAAAGTAATTATATAAATTTTATATAATGATAATAATTTCCTTATTTTTATCAACGCAAAATGTTTTTTTTTTTTTTTTTGTGGGGGGGCTGGGTGAGATTAGGTTCGCGAAATGTTAAACGACATACAAGGTGCTTTTGAAGAAATGGTAAAAACAACTTCGTGGTTGGATGAACGAACAAAATCTGTCATACTCGACAAAGTTAAAGGAATTAAAAAAGAAATTGGATTTTCCAATTGGATGACGGATTCGATAAAAATAAATAAATATTACGAAGGAGTGAGTTGAACATTTATTCCCCCCCCCTCCCCACTTAAATTTTTCCTTTTCATCGTGGATTTAATATGGATTTTCTTTTTTTTTTTAAAGCTAGATTTAAAAGAATCAGAATTTTTATTAAATATTATGAGAGTGTCAGAATGGGAAGTTCAAAAAGCGATCGATTCATTGGGAAAATTTAAAAATAATTCAAATGATAATAATTTCGGTTGGTTTTTAAACCCGATACAAGTTAACGCTTATTATTCTCACGTGGAAAATGCCATAGGTAGGTTTGAATGACACGTGTGTAAATTAAACCTGATTTTGGTAGTTGAAACAAAACTTTTTTTTTTTTTTTTTAGTTATACCCGCTGGTATATTACGATCGCCATTTTATTTTAGAGGGATTGAGTGAGTATTTTGTATATAAACTAATGAGAGAGAGAGAGAGAGAGAGAAATTAATTAAATATTTCCACTCGTCAGATCTCTCAACTACGGTGCCATTGGAACCATATTGGGTCACGAATTAACTCACGGTTTTGATATTGAAGGAAAAAATTATAACAAATACGGTGAACTTGAGGAAAATTTATGGTCGGAAAATGTCATTGATGAATATGAAAAGAGAGCACAATGTTTTGTCAAGCAGTATGAAAATTTTACTTTGTACGACAATCAAAAGTAAATGTTTTGTTGATTTTTATAATCCGTTAACGATTTAGAACGGGGAAAAAATTTGAAATTTTTTTAATATGTTAGAGTAAACGGAAACTTCACGTTGGCTGAAAACATAGCAGATAATGGGGGAATCAGAGAAAGTTATAAAGCCTATCAAATATACAAAGGTAGACATGGACAAGAGCCAAAGTTACCTGGATTTGAAAATTTCACACACGAACAATTATTATTTTTATCTTATGCAAACGTAAGACGAAATTTAATATCAATTCCTCACGGTACGAAAATATTTTAACGGTTTTTTTTTTTTTAAATTAGATTTGGTGCGAAACTGTCACCCCACAATATTATAAATCAACCAAAGATTCTCACAGCCCTCAAAGAGTACGAGTTTTGGCTACTTTGCAAAATATGAAAGAATTTTCCGAGGCTTACAGTTGCTCAGATGACACATACATGAATCCTTTAAACAAATGTATTATTTGGTAATTTTAAAATATTTTTTTTATACGAATAAATCGTGTCACGAGTGAGGAAGCCATTTTGATTTAACGTTCCTAGCCCTAGTTTTTACCATGTGTGGAAAAACTACGAAATCGATAATTTAATAACCTATTCGTCGAATTTTGATGACGTATTTACATATATACATAAATACAAAAATAATAATAATAACTTTACAGTAAATTTTTGACCGTAACAAAAATTAAATCAATAATTTTTCCCCCTCGAAATTTCATCGAATTGAAATACATCATCAAATAAAAAAAAAAAGAAAAAAAAGTAACAAATTAATAATAATAATATTTCTCATATCGTAATTACTAACCTATTTAGCCTAAAAAATTTTAAAACTAATAAATTTCTTTTCGTAAAAATCTTCTGATTTGCTAATTTAAAAAAAATTTCGTTTAAATTATAATCGTAACGTTTTAATAAAAAAAAAAAAAATACCTATATCGTAAATTTTTTTTTAATTTCTTTTTCCACCACCAGAGTCGCAAATGGTACGTCGGAAAAGAATTCGGTTTATAATACGCTTTAGTGTATCAAAATAAAAAATGGCAGTGTCATGCAAAAAAAATTACATTAATTTTACGTTAATTTTATTATTATTATTTATCGCGTTCAGTGTTAAACCGTGTAGTTCGGCATCTACAGATATAGAATTGGATGCGAAAGCTCAACAACTTCACAGAATCGATAGTTTAAATTTATTATTATACACTTTTTTACTCACACTAACAGTTTTGACTATTTGGCTTTTCAAGCACAGACGTCTAAGGTTTTTGCACGAAACTGGCTTGGCTGTGATTTACGGTATATGTCAAAAATTTTTTTTTTTTTATATAAACTCATCGTAATTTATTTTTTTTTAATTATGACATTTATAACGATCAATGGAGTTACAAGTCCAAATCTCGTGTGTGTGTGTGTGCGTGTGTATGTGATAAGTTTAAAAATTACAATTTGACCAATGCTAAACATAAATTTAATTTTATTAGTCATGGGTAAATCTATCTTTATAATATTTATTGAACGATAATTTTCCACCACCACCACCCTATATATAAGGGAGACCCATTTTTTGTTTTTTAAAGGTTTCTTGTGATTGAAACCATTTCAATATACATAATACATAAATAATTAATCATTACAATTGTACTTTTTCTTAAATAAAGATTAATATACCCTTGAACGAAACTAATTGAGAACCTCATTAAATTTCTACTTACATTTAACTTGATACTTAAAATTGAATAATAGGTAAATTGACACATTTCAAAGAAATAAAAAAAAAAAAAAAAAAATTTAAAGTTAGGTTTCTCAATCAGGTTTAAATAAGTCATTTTTTTTTACATATAGGTATCTAACACTATCGGTTAAGTAAATGTTGTTACATTTAAATCGAATGTCAAATCTGTAATATTTATCTCTTGCAATTTTTTTTTTTCTCATAACATAATACCTGTTATGTTATCATGTAGTCATTGTTTGCTAGATTAAAAAATGAATTTAAAATTTAATCAAACAATGTAAAAAAATTTTTTTTTTTTTTTTCAGGGTTAATTGTGGGAGCGTTAATTAGATATACCGGATCATCTAATTCTGTGACCCATGTTTCTGTACATCCTCAAAATAATACCAAATATAATTTAACTGTGAGTTAATTATTATTATTATTATTTGTTATAATTATAAATTTTTTTTAACGATGTAATTTTGGATATTTTTTCAAGGTGCCACCTGATACATTATGGTTTAAATTTCCACATAAACACGTTAACAGTAATTCAATAATCAATAGTAAAACTTATTCTTATACGTTCAGAGGAGAAATAGTCGATGTTGAAAACAGCGAAATTGATTTGAAAGCGACTTTTGATCCAGAAATTTTTTTCAACATTATTCTTCCCCCCATAATATTTCATGCCGGATACAGTTTGAAAAGAGTGAGTGTGCGATTGATATCATTTTAATTCTTATTATTTTGTATAGATTACATCGCATTAAAATGCATGATGATACTCATTGTCACTAAAAATTGTTTCTTTAGTTTGTTTTGTTTAAAAATCTTTTAGAATAGTTATTTTTTTTTTTTTTGTTTACAGAGATATTTTTTCAGAAATTTAGGGGCTATTTTAACCTATGCAATCATCGGTACTACAATATCATCGTTTGTTGTCGGGTATGTTATAAATATTTTTGAAAATTTAACAAGTTTCCTTAAATTTTTAACTTTATGTTTTATGTTTTCAGATCTCTCATGTATGGTTTGATTCAAATCATGCCACATTTAAAAACCAGTTTTACTTTTTTAGACACTTTATATTTTGGTGCTTTGATATCGAGTACAGATCCTCTGACAATTCTTGCTATATTTAACGATTTGCACGTCGATGTCAATTTATATGCTCTCGTTTTTGGAGAAAGTGTTCTAAATGATGCTGTTTCGATTGTTCTGAGCGGGTGAGTGTAAAAAATTCATTTTAAAAAATTGTTCCAAATTGAAAACCATTTTCTCCATTTATTTATTTATTTTTTTTTTTCTGCAGATCAATTCAAAATTATGGAAAAAAATACCAAAGCAACGATAGTCAATTTGAAACTTATGCATTTTTTCGAGCATTCGGTGATTTCATTGAAATATTTTCTTTTTCACTTATCATTGGAGCTGTGATGGGTTGTATAACCGCTTTGATATCCTTTTATTATCATTCCAGTTCTTTTTCGAATAAGAATTTTTTTTTTTTTAAATATTTTTATTCTTAACTGTTGAAAATACTTGACCAAATATACTAGGGTTAGAGATTTTCCATTGCTGGAATCTGCTTTGTTTGTTTTGATGTCCTACAGTTCGTTTCTCATTGCCGAAGTTAGCGATTTAACTGGTAAGTCGGTTGGCATCCCTGTGAGATGAGAGTCATCAACAATCTTCCACTATATATTTGTACGTATTTAATTTCAGGTGTGGTAGCAGTATTATTTTGCGGGATATGTCAAGCCCATTACACGTATAACAATTTATCGGATAATTCGAGAACGAGAACGAAACATTTATTTCAATTATTGAATTTTCTCGCGGAAAATTTCATTTTTTGCTACATCGGAGTTTCCATGTTTACGTTTCCGAAACATCATTTCGATCCGTTTTTCATCTTTTCCGGATTCGTATCCTTTTTTTTAACAACGGTTAAACTCGACTCCATATTTTTTTTTTTTTGTATCGTTGAAGTTGGAAAAAAAAAAAAAAAATTTTCTTAATTGATAATTATTTAGATATGTGCTGCCATCGGTAGAGCTGCTAATATTTATCCGTTATCGTTGGTATTGAATTTGGGTAGAAAACCGAAAATTTCTACAAATTTTCAACACATGTTATTTTTCGCTGGTAAATTTTTTTTTTTTTTTTTTTATTTAATTTCCGGTTTTTTTCCTCCTCCTCCTTCTATAATTGTCTCTCGGTTGTTATTTTTTTTTAAGGATTACGTGGTGCAATGTCCTTTGCATTAGCTATTAGAAACACATTAAGCGAAGCTAGACAAGCCATGCTGACAACGACTAGTTTAATCGTTATAGCAACCGTTATTATTCAGGGAGGTGCTACTATGCAGTTATTAACGTGGTTTAATATACCGTACGTGTCAACTCGTTCATAATCATTTTCTTAAATCCTTTCTCTGATTTGTTTTCATAGTTTTCACAATGACGTCATAATTTGTTTTAACAGGGTCGGCGTGGAAGAAGAAGTTGAAGTTTTCCCATATGCCAACGTTCGGAACGTAAGTTTTCCCCAAAAAATTTATGTAATTTTTTCTTTCTTGGGTCAAGTGCTTTCTCTTCATTCTTAGTTTCTTTTTTTTTTCTATTCTTCAAAAACGCCATTTTTTTTTCAAAGTCCATATTTATCGGTTAAGGGTCTTTTTAATAATGCACGCATTCGTTTGCTTCACGATTATTAACTAGATAGCTAGGTACAAAGTAAAAAAAAACTTTCTGAGCAAATTAATGCATGTTGTACAAACAAAAAAAATTTTTTCATTTTTTTAGGTCTACAACTCGACTGGAATACATAACGGGGTAGGTATTTGTTTTTTTTTTTTTTTTTTTTTTTTTTAACTCAACTAATAAAATAATTTAAAAAATTATTAAACAATAATGTGCTCAGAAAATCAAATTATAAAAAAAAAAAGCCAGAGGTTACATTTTTTGTTTTAAATTGTATTTGCAAATACATGTTGCTTTTTGTTTTACGCTTAACCTAATCGATAAAAATTTTCCGGTGATTGATAGTTGGGGGGGGGGCGGGGGAGTCTTAAAATTGTGGGATTTGGTTTGTTTTGTAAAAAACGTTCAAAAACATTGTTACGGGGGTTTGTGGATTTGCGATTTGTACAAAAATAGTGTTTTTAAATGTTTTTAAATGTTTAACAGGAAGCCGAAGAATCATCTAGTCATAATTTAAATCCCAAACAAATGAGCGAAAAAGCATTTTTAGCAAGGATATGGGGGGATTTCGACACGAAATACATGAAACCCTTTTTAACGGATTCGAGGCCGACCCTATTGGAAACTCTACCGGTTTGTTGCAATCCGTTGGCCAGATTGCTCACAACGACCGCTCAATTAACCCAGGTACGAGGAGTAGAAAATAAAAAATTTTAACGATTCGATTCGATTCGATTCGATTTATCGAATGTAAATAATTTAATTTGAATATATATAAATTTCGCAGGAGGGTAGGAGTCGATCTCGACACGATAGCGATTCCGATATTTGTTTAGAAGAAAATGCAGTCGTTCGACGTAATAGTAAAAACAATACAATTCCAAAGGTAAGACGCATCAAATTATTATTATTATTATTATTAACGGGGTGTTCTTAATTTCTCTTTTATATCGATTCTTAAAAATTAATTATTATTAAATTCCCCCTACTTATATATATTTCTGTCAAAAAAAAAAAAAAAAAAAAAAAAAAAAAGTGCGGAAGCAGCATTTCAGGTGATTTAGGCTTGGGACCTGGAATTGTGGACACGATTATTAGACTACAAGATAATTTAGATGGAAACAATATATAAAAAGGTACAAATAACCGATTGATTGATTGATTGATTGATTGTGCATGTTGTGGCTTATGATTTTTTTTTAAAAATATTATTATTATTATTATTATTATTATTATTATTATTATTATTTGTACCTGCCTAATTTAAAATTTTATATTTTTATTACGATCGTTAGAGTGCTTGTTAAAACCAAACATTTTTTTATTTTTTTAGTCATTTTAAAATTATTATTAATTTTTAATATGCGCGTATACGTTGTTTGATTGATGATGATGATGATGATGATTACCCCTTCGTGAGAAATTTTAATTCCCGAGAATAATTTGATTATTATTATTATTATTTTGGGTTAATTACATGTACTAATAATTAGTTTTAATTAGTGATTAGTTTTTGGGGAAAAAGACCTAATGTGACGTAATATTAGTTTATCGGCCTATTTATATATATATTTACGTAGTAAAAGCAGTGGCAGCAGTCGAATTCACATATGGACCCTACTTTTTTTTTTTCTTTTCATTACCCCCCTCCTCCTCCTCCTCCTCCCTTCCCCCTCGAAAAAAAATGCAAAATTATTATTATTATTATTATTATTATTATTACGTGAAATTTTTTTTTCAAAACTAAAATTTTCTCTTTTCGATGATCTTTTCTTCATTTTTTTTATTTTTTTATTTCATCTTATATTCAAAAAAAAAAAAATTAATTTGCCTACCAATAGAAGAAGACGGCGGGGTGAAAAGGAGAGAGAGAGAGAGAAAAAGAGGAAAGGGGTAAAGGGGGACGGGGAAAGGGAAGTAAATGATAAATAAAAAGAGAGAGAGAGCTTTTGAGCAGGATCCGTAATATTGATTTTCTATATTTTTTTAGCCCGTGAAGTGTTGAGCATTCAAAGTTTCATTTCATCTTTCATCAGTTTCAAGTTTAATAGTCGTTCGAAGCGTATATATACATACATACATACATAAGCAAAAATATAAAATTTACACACACACACACACACATACCTTAGCAGTATTGAAAATTGTAATTAAAAAAGGGGAAAAAAGATAAAAAAAAAAAAACTGTAAAAAAAATCTTTTTTTTTTTGTTTAATTAAAAAAGGGGAAAAAGAAAAAGAAAAAAACGTTAGAGACATAACGTTCTTTTTTAAGAAAAAAATTATTTTTTTAAATAATTTATCGAAAATTTAAATAAATAAAAAAAAAATAAATAAGAAAAAGTGGTCAGTGAAAACCTGCCAATGAAAGAATAAAAAAAAAATAATAATAATAAAATAAAAGCAAAAAGAAAAGAAAGAAAGAAAAAAGGTATGGCAATATTTGTTTTAAATTAATAATAATAATAATGATAAATTTTTTTTTGTATTGTATTGTATTGTAATAATGAATGGTTGTTGTTTTTATAAAAGCTTTAATAAATGTAGTATTATTTAATTATTTTTTTAATTAATTAATTAATTATGGAAAAAATGGGTAGGTAAATAATAGGTAGGCAATTTTCGTTATTGTTCGTTAATTTTTTTTTTTTAAATTTTTTTTTTGCATTCGAATAAATTTGATATAAAAAAAAAAAGATATTAATAAATTCGTTTCATAATCATCATCATCATCATCTATATGGCATGATATAGACGCCCCCTCCCCACCCACCCCCCACTTCCCGTTTCGTGAATTTTATCTAAACGATATAAATGTCCTTATATATTTTTTTAATTTTGAAAAATCGATTCGATTAATTACGACGTAATGCGATTATTTTTATTTCCCCCCTCCCCCCGATTGAATGAATGACTGAATGGGACTAGTCTTCGTTAAATAATTTTTTTTTTTTTTTTTTTTTTTTTTGTCATTTCCGCTATCATTCATTTATAACGATTCAATATCGATTTTTTTTTTTAGTGACGTATACACACACGCACACACACACACGAACATTTTTATAAATTTTCCAATCTGTGAAAACTTTTAAGGTCCTTAAAAATTATTACGTAACGCTCTCATGTATAATAATATTTGTCGTTTTAATTATTTAATCCCATTGATTTTTTGAGCTTTTATGTAAATTTTAAATTGTTCCCCCCTTCCCCTTCCCCTCCCCCCGCCCATTCTCTTTCTCAATCTCTTTTACGAAATTTTGACGTCATCATAAAAGTCTTAACAATATATATATATAAATTTCAATATTTGAACGGTTGATTGGTTTGTTTGTCGAAAACGAATTACTTATTTACTTTTGTTTCGCATACGCATTTAAATTTAAATATTATTATCATTATCGTTATTCGATATTCGAGAATGTTCGAAATGGTTAAAATAATCGATTCGTAGTTCCTTTCATTCGTTCGTAATTATTCAAAACGTTCGAAAGAACAAAAATTACTAATTGCAAATTGTTTTGTAGTCGTCGTTAGTGTAAAAATGATTAAAAATGATGTTTTTCACAGTTGGACACACACGCGAGAGAGAGAGAGAGAGAGAGAGAGAGAGAGAGTGAGAGAGAGAAAAAAATTAAGTTAAAATCATCACGAATCCTTTCGCAGAATCACAGATCCCAAGCTGAGAAATTTACTTTAAATCTCATTTCATTTCCATGTTTCGTTAAAAATGTATATAACGGGGAATTAATTGTTGAATTTTCCCGTGTAATTTGTCAATTTTCTTGTTTTTAAAAGTTTTCCAACGAAAAATTTTCCAGTTGTTTTTCTTTTTTTTTCCTCTTCCGGTGAAAGCTTTTACTTTTGTTTTATTTTTTTCTTTCAAGTCGAAGATTAACCGTTCAACTCATTAAAAATTAATTTATTTACCGTTCGAATGCCGTTCGCTTTTTTTTTAATTGCCGAAAGGTTTTTATTTTTGTTTTTCCTTTTTTTTTAAATAAAAGTTAAAAGGTATTTACACAACAGACAAACGAAAGAACAAAAACAAATTTCACGGAATTCCGAGTTAAAAAATTTAATTAAAAATAATGGTTGTTGTTGTTGTTCTGTATTTTCATCCTTTTTCTTCTTTTCTTTTTCTTCTGCTTCTTATTTTCACGTGAAAGATGAAAAATAAAATAAAAATTTCATCCCGGAAAATTTTTTTTTTTTTTTTTTCAATATTATTGGATAAGACGTTTTTCAATGAATTTTTAATCAATTTTTTTTTTTTTTCTCTTCATAGTTCGTTCGAATTTTTATTAAAAAATTATTATTATTATTTTCTTGGGATGATGATGGAAAACGTTGAACGATTTTATAATTATTATTATTATTATTATTATTATTATTATGGTATTTTTTGAACTGGAAAATATTTAATTAATTTATAAATTATTAATAATTTTTCCAACAAATTGACACGTTCGGTGGACATTATTAATTTTCATTTTAATTTTTTCATTTTTCCTTCCTTTCCTTTCGAGAAAATTCACAAATCGTGTTTTTCTTGTTGTTGTTTTTCCATCTCATCTCTTTATCTTTTTTCTTTCATTTTCCTTCACCTCCCATTAATCAACATCCTTTTATGCAAAACAACATGAGAGAATGGGAGGGAAAAATTTTGTTCTCACAAATTGGATGAGATTTTTTTTTTTTTTCTTTTCTTTTGTTCCACACAAAAAAAAACAATAATTGTTGTTTGTTACAAAAAAAAATTATTACGTCGATAAGAGAGAGAGAGAGAGAGAATATGCTACGATGGAAAATATAATTTTTTTTTTCCATTTTTAAATTTGCAACAAATTTTCAAAAAAAAAAAACCTTCCTACATTGTTTTCTGTCACGTTTGCAATTGTTCAAATTCGTCCGTGAAAATTTTTCAAAAATAAGAAAAGTTTCCTCTTGCTGATTGTTTGTTTGTCATTCATTCATTCATTCATTCATTTTCATTTTGAATCGTATAATAACGTTAAAATTTTGTTCGCGTTGTTAAAGAAAAAATTATTATAAATAAAAATTTTCTTAAGGTAAGATCTCTAATTGTCATTATCACGTATTAATTAATCGGGATAAATAAGTCAGTTCGTCAAAAACCTTAAAACCTTAAAAACCTTTCGCGATTTTTTTTTTTTATCACGTACGTACCTACAACACGTCATCGATTGCTTAAACACAAATGAACAATAACGATAATTACGATGAGTTTTTTAAATTGTTGGCGTTCGATTGAATTTTATAATAACGAACGAGTAAGCAATTAAAAAACTCGCGAGTATATTATAATTACGCGAATAAATAATAATAATAATAATAATAAGTGTTTAAGAGTGACCATAATAATAATAATAATAATAATAAATGATTTACATTTGTTGTAAAATGTTACGATAAAAAAATGTTTTTTGTATTTTCTTTGCTTAGTTTGCTTAATTTTAAATGCATAGAAATATAAATTTACTTTATTTAAATTATTATTATTATTATTATTATTATTATTTTTGCATGACACAAATTCGATTAACCGAATTCGATGCATCGTTACGATTATAAATGAAAAGAAAGAAAAAATTTTTTTTTTTGACTCACCAGGTGTATTTTTTCCAGCCGTTTAAAATCTCCATTTTTTTTTTTTTTTTTTTTTTTGTGGGTCTAAAATATGTACTCGTGCTGGAACGATGATTCCGTTTCCCTTTAAAAAAAAAATTATTATTATTATTATTAATATTGTATGCGTTAGCAGCATTTATTTATTTATTTTTTCTTTTTTTTTACAGATATAATAATAATGGCCTTAAATAAAAAAAAACATTCAATAAGTACTTTTTCAATCAAAACTTTGTGGATCTTATTTTTATTTTTTCATGAATTTAATCTAGTCATATGTGATGAATTAGAAGACGACAACTTGGAAAAGGCTTTAGAAGCCATCGAAAGACGTCAAAAGAATTTACAATTACAAGGTCTGTTTTGGATTATTAAATTTTTTTTTTTAACCTTTCCTTTCTTACGTTCTTCATACGGCCTGTTTATTATATTTTTTCGTGCAATAAACAAAAATTCCGTATGAAAGACATTAAAAAATCGTTTGAAATTTTATTAAATTTCCCCCCTTCCCCCTTTCCCCCACACACCCACGCCCCCTCCCCCCGTTTTAAAACGGTAGGAAAAATTAAAAAAATTAAATAAAAAATTTTTTTGTTTGAAATTTGCTGAGAAATGCTCTTATAATTTAAAAAATTATTATTATTATTTTTATATTGTAAGCCTTTTGTGTTTGTTTGTTTGTTTGTTTGTTTGTATAAATTTTATTATTAAACAATACTTTTTTTTATTCAATGTCAAATTTTCTTCACGATGTCAATAAATTTTTACGACATTTTTTTTTTTTACGTCGTGAAAAATTTAAACTATTATTACACGATCGTTTTCTTTTGTTATTAACATAATATTTAATAATTTATTGTAAAAAACCCAAACATTGTCACGGACTTTGAGAGAGAGAGAGAGAGAGAGAGAAAAACATGCATACAAAAAAATTAGTAATTCACAAAATGATGATGATGATTTTTAATTACAGAAAGTGAATACTACGGTCAACCTGAAAACATTGGCTACGGATTTCAAAAAACGTTAGGTTTTTTCGATAGTGGTCCAGCAACGGAAATAGGAAGTTTTAATATCGATCCGAAAAATGAAAACGAATTTCAAAGTTTAATTTACAATTATCAAAAGGAAAATGATGATGATGATGATGGAAAAAATCACAAATCGATTTTTCGTGAACGCATGCCAAATTATAGGAAAAATTACATGTTGAATGAGAAAAATGATGAGGAAGACTATGATGCTCCGACTACTAGTAGTATCGAATACTTGCAAATGCTTAAGAACCTTTGGTCGAAATACCGTCAATCGAGGGATGACGAATTCAGTCTGGAAAACTTAACAGACGATCAATTGAAAGAAATGTTAAGCTCTTTGTACGATCGAGATTTGAGCGATGACCAACGTTACGTAAACGATTTCGATAATATTAAGTTAAAACAAATAGAATCCGTACCTCTAAGGTATCGTAAAAACTACAGGGTATTCGAAAGTCTTAAAGATAGAAGAAAACGTTATCCCGTAGTCGGAGAAGAAATTTACAATAAGAAAAATCTACGTAATCAGCACATGAATCCCTATGAAAATCCTTCTAAAATCCTTAATTATCCCTATTCTTTAAAATATGTTTACCCGGACTTGAACAGGGATATCGTCGAAAGCATGAAAGAAGCCGGTTTGGAAGTTTTGGGCGGCGACGAAAAAGATAGAAACGTCATTAAAATACTGAACAACGCGATAAACCATCCAAAATATTACGAAGAAGAAGAGGCTCCGTATTGGTCGTCAGACGAACAAAATAGTTACGAAGATGGGGTTTGGCTTCCGGGACCCGTTTATTCAGATGACTGGTACGACAATCCCGAGAGAAATGAAAAAAGAATCGAGGGAACGGTTAAACATTTCAAGCCACACAATGGAATTCATTTAAATTCGAAAAGATTTCCGGTCAAAAGGAGTCCTTCCGTGAGAGTTAGAAAAGAAGTTCAAAACGAAAAGGTGTCGAAAGAATTAAAGGGGATTTTCGGTACGAGCACAGTTCCACCCAAAAAAGGCTCGGAAAAAAAACCTACGGAAATCGTCAAGAAACAAAATCAGACCGTGGCTTTGACGGGTAAAAAAAAAGAAAGTAAAAAAGTGATTCGAAGCGCGGATAGATACGACAAGGAAAGAGTTTTACCCGTTCGCCAAAACGAAGAAATAAGTAACATTTTCGAAACCGACAAAAGAACAATCGATAAAAAATCAATCGATTGGTCGCAATATTTTGGAATAGATAAAAGATCGAAACAAAATTGGCTTCAAAACGATTATTTAAAGCGAGCCGAATCCCATTTTCTAACGCCTAAAAATAAAAGATTGTCTCTCGATCGTTCTAAATCGAATTTTTTAAACGAGTATCAGCAGTCACAGTATGAAATGCCTTTCGATACCAGACGATTTAACAAAAAAGGAAACGGATACGGGAGTGATATCGGAAACAATATCGACAACGTTGAAAACAAAATAGTCGACATAGAAGAGAAAATAATAGACGATGCTCTCAAATACACGGGTTCGCAAATGGAAGTCAACAGCGAGGATTTGAACAAAGTTAAAAGCAAAGTCATACAGCACTTGGAAGCGGCATACAGTTTGGAAAAAATGAAAAACGCATTGGAAGAATTTAAAAATTTAATTAAACCGTCCGGTAAAGATCACGGAAATGGGAATAATTTTAAAAAAACGGGTACAGAAGCACCTAAAGTGGAAGCTCAAACGACAGGTAAGCTTTAAAAAAAAAAACAAAACAAAAACAAAAAAGGTTTTTGTTGAATCCTTTGAAAAAAAAATAATAATAATAAACAAATATTCATTTTCATTATTTAGTTCAAACGGTAAAGGAAAATTCGAACATTGAAAAACCACTCTCCGATAAAAAGTCAACCCCGGAAAACAATAAAGGAATTTCTGGAAAAAATGACGGAATCAAAGATATATTCAATCGAGATACCCCCTCGGAAAATTTGGAATTTTTAAACGATCCACCATATTATAATCGAGATTACAATAACGAAGGTACGGTGAAAATTAAAAAGGAAAATTAATTAAAATTTTCCTTTTTTACGAATGTTTTCCCCTCGTTTCAGAATGTCCCGTTTTGGATCACATTTTACGAAATTGTCTTAGAATCGAAGGTACGAATGGAAAATTCACCGAACTATTGGTTCCTCTTTGTTCTTTACAACAAGTTTGCTACTTTTGCGGTGCCGAAATAGGCTTTACTAAATTGTCAATGTGCGATGCAATGTACATGACGGAAGTGCAAAATGTTTGTCAGGTAAGTCATTTGATGATAGCAATAGTAGGTAGTACCATGCAACATCAGGCAGGAAATATATTATTAAAATTTTTTTCAGGATAACGGGGAATGTTTGATGAATGCGAGAGACAATCTCATGGGTCTTAGAAACATGTACGAACAAGATTTTATAAAAAGCAGTCGTCGATTAACTTTCGGATCCTGTCTTTCAAATCCTTGCATACAAAGGTATTTCCTGAACAGTCCGGGAGCCATTTACCCAATGGAAGCATAAAAACAATTATTTCATGTCTAGTTACGAACGTGCAAAGAAGGAATGTTTCGAAATCCACGAAAAAACAAAAAAAATAATTTCCTTTGTTAATACATAAAAATAAAAATATTAATAATAATGATAATATTGTTAAAAATAATATGTCGATCTACTCTCTCGTTTTCATTTCGAGGATATAATAATTATATTTAAAAAAATCTATATATATATATATTTTTCGTTGTCAAAATATTTTTTAATATTTAAAAGTTGAGACTTGTTATTTCGTAACGAGTCAAATATATATTTATATATATATATATATTATTTAAAAAATTATGACAAATGACAAAAAAGAAAAAAAAAAATGATTTATATATATTATTTTTTAATTGGTGAGTTTAAAAAAAATTATTTTTTTTTTGAAATTTAAAAATTTTTATCACTTGTTATTGTAATAATATTTTCTTAAACTATAAAAATATTTTTTGTATATAATAAAAAATTATTTTTTTATTTTTGAGTGATTTTAATATCGAGAAAAAAAAAGAAACTACCATGACTTGAAGTTAAATGATAATTTTTTTAAATTTTTATTAAAAGTTGTTTTTAATTACTTACATGTTAATTTTAATTGACAAAAAAGGTTAAAAAAGGTTTAAAAAGTTCTGTTACTATTATAAAGCCTTTTTAAAGTTTCTTTTCTTGAAATAATAAGTTTGTTTTTTGGTCTTTGAACTTTCCAAACCATGTTTTATTAATTCGATGTGATTTTTTTTTTATATTTATTAAACGTTTGATATTTTATTTTATTTATTTCAAGTCTCAACTTAAAGTAAAATAAAAAAAAAGTCTTTACTTTCTGGTAAATTCAAAAGTTAAAACAAAAATTAAATGTGTGTGTTAATTTATATAATAATAATAATAAAATAATTTAATTTATTCAAAATAACTATTGAGGTATATATGTTGTCGTCTTATTAAAATATTATATATATAATTATATATATATATACATGTTACTTGAATTTAACTAATATAAAAAATATGAGTTAAATTATTTTCAAGTATTGGTAAAATTATGTGAACATCCATTACATAAAGTATTTGTTGTAATTCTGTAATAAATATATGCAGATAAAGAAACATAAATATCTTTTTACCTTTATTTGTTTTCCTTATTCATTGTTTTTTACGATTATTTCACTTAAATTCACTACACTAAAGTAAAATAATACACTTAAACGACACACAAAAATTATTAAACCTACTCCACACAACAATTTAAACTTAACGGATTAGTATTCTACTGTTCCTAACCGGAAACAAGTTTTATTCAAAGGTAAAAATAATATTGCCACTTACACGTAAAATAGTAAAAGGTAATAAAATGAATTCACATCGAAGAAATATTTTTGAATTACTAACTAATTTATTAAATTATGAATATTTTTTTAATAACAAAAGAAATAAAAATAAACGTTTTGTTATTAAAAATTTTATGGATGAAAATGAGAACTATTTTTTTTTGCGGATGAATAAATTCCTTTGTGACATCATCAACGACGGTGCTATTTTTTGCCTCTTCCTCAAAAAATTCGTGTAGAGCAGTTTGAATGAGGGGCTGTGCCCTTATGTTAGGTCACACGGCCGTAATATTGTGAAATAATTATTAAAAACACAAAAAAATAAAAAAACAAAGAAAAAATTTACAAAAAAATCGAAAAAAGTAAAAAATTGATTAAATAAAATAAGGTTAACAGTGAAAAAGAGTGTGCGTGTGTGGTTGTGACAACGTGTAGTCACCATTTTTCTTTTTAGTTCTCAGAAGTTTTTATTTTAATAAGTCTTATTAATTTCTTTCTTTAAAAATCATTTTATTAATATTATTCCAAAATGAATCCCGGTGGTCCTAATTATCCTATGGCATCTCTATACGTCGGAGATCTTCATTCAGATGTTACAGAGGCCATGCTTTTCGAAAAATTTTCGTCAGCTGGCCCTGTATTATCTATACGTGTGTGCCGTGACATGATAACCAAACGTTCTCTTGGCTACGCATATGTAAACTTTCAGCAACCTGCTGATGGTACGTATCAAATTTTGTCAATTTTTTCGAAAAAAATAATGACAAATAATTATGTAGAACATATGTTAATAATGATCATGTGCCATAATTCCTTCCGTTTTACCGCCATTTTGCTAAGGTCGACCTTGTCTAAAATTATTACAAATTTGTATTTAAATGTTTTTTTTTTTTTTTTTTTTAAATGTTATTTATATTTATAACAATTTGTTTTTGTTTTATTTTCATTATTTTTTTAACATTTAAATTACAAAAATCTAAATTTTTGAATCATAACCTGCGTAAATCAAAATCATATTGTCTTCCCATTCATTTTGATGCATCTCCTGCATGAAATTGTTTTTTATCATCAAATTCCTTTTTATTATTAATATATTTTATTATTAAAATTCAAATGCGACTAATTAAGAATACAATATGAGAATAAAATTATAATTAAATAATTTCTCTTTTTTTTTCCAGCTGAAAGAGCTTTGGACACAATGAATTACGACCCATTGAAAGGAAAGCCTATACGTATTATGTGGTCTCAACGTGACCCATCTTTACGAAAATCTGGCGTAGGAAACGTTTTTATTAAAAACCTAGATAAGTCTATTGATAACAAAGCCATGTATGACACTTTCTCAACTTTTGGCAACATATTGTCGTGCAAAGTAGCTCAAGATGAATCTGGAACATCCAAGGGGTATGGATTTGTACATTTCGAAACAGAAGAAGCTGCCAATAAGAGTATCGATAAAGTCAACGGAATGTTATTGAATGGGAAAAGAGTAAGCGAAATAATTTTTTTTTTTTAAATTTTACTTCCTTATTGTTGAATTGCTTGTATTAAAGCTACTTAACTTATCAAGTTTTGAGTCGAGTAATGTTTTTGAATTATTAATATGATTACTTGCATTTCTAACCAAAGGTTTTATATGAATTATTTTTTGTAAAAAAAAAAAAAAAAAAAAAAAAAAACTACTTTTGTTTAAAAAAACTCATTTCAATTTTGAAAAAAAGTTATAATGTGGAAGAAAATAATCATTCCACATGAAAATTTATACATGTATGCATGTTGCAGTTACTTTTGAACGATTTTAAACTTTACAGTTTCGCAGTCTGATAAATTTTTATGCATTTAAGTTCAATGCTTTGCTATATTCTATGAAAGTATGGAAAATAATTTAATTTTTGTCTTTAAATAATTGAGTGTAAATAGTGTGTACTTGATAACAAATAACAAAATCTTTAGTTTAATTATTATTTCGAGCTATAGAAATACTTTGATTTAATTAAGATTCGAAGAGAAAAAAAAAGAAAATTTTTTTGTAAAACTTTGTCTACACACTCGAATTTACAAAAGAAACAAAACAAATTAAAATTAAAAGTAAATGTTTGTCAATTAATAATTAAAAATTAAATAAGGTTTAGAGATGCAAAGTTTTGTCGAATAAGTAAACATTTTTTAATGATAAGAATTTTTTTTTTTTTTTTTTTTATTATTTTGTTTCTTGAAGATGTTTAAAGTTGAGTTACAAAAATGTTTTTGTTTAAATCATAATAATCACCTTGAAATGATCAGAAAAAAATTTACCTTGATAAAAAAAAAAAAAATCAATTGGAAACATTTTGTTTGTGCAAGTGTTTTGTTGCTGTTTATCAAGCACACATTGTAATTCATATATATATGTTATTGTATCGTTAATTTTTGAGCTCTTCTAACTCGGGCCTGCCGAGTCTCAAATGACCTCATTTATGGCTCAACAAATTTAATAACAATATCGATATTTAATATTTTTTTTTTGTTTTTCCCAAAGGTTTTCGTCGGTAAATTCATTCCCCGCAAAGAAAGAGAAAAGGAACTTGGCGAAAAAGCAAAGAGGTTCACCAATGTTTATGTTAAAAATTTTGGAGAAGACTTTTCTGACGATCTTCTTAGAGAAATGTTTGAAAAGTATGGACGCATAACGAGTCACAAGGTACAAGGGAAAAATTAAATCCTTCATTTGTAATAATTTAATCCCCAATTACTTTACTCGTACGTAATTTTAATCATATGTATTGATGTATACGCTTGGGGTATACCAAAAAGCCGTTGGAATCTTGGGTTGTTTAAGAAATGTATTAAAACCTAATTGATTTTGACTGGCTAACAATTTACTAATTGATTTTTCAATGGTTCGAAAATAACCCGCAGGTTTAAATTTCAGGTAATGAGTAAAGACGATGGTAAAAGTAAAGGTTTTGGATTCGTCGCTTTCGAAGATCCCGAAGCTGCTGAGAAAGCTGTGGCAAGCTTAAACGGAAAAGAAATAGTCGAAGGAAAGCCATTGTTCGTGGGGCGCGCTCAGAAAAAAGCTGAAAGACAACAAGAACTCAAGAGAAAGTTTGAGCAGCTTAAGATGGAACGACTCAGTCGTTACCAAGGAGTCAATTTGTATGTTAAAAACATTGACGACAACATCGATGATGAGCGTTTGAGAAAAGAATTTACACCGTTTGGAACAATTACCAGCGCCAAAGTTATGCTCGAAGACGGTCGTTCAAAAGGATTCGGATTCGTTTGTTTTTCAAGCGCCGAAGAAGCTACTAAAGCTGTAACCGAAATGAACGGTCGCATCGTCGGTTCTAAGCCTTTGTACGTTGCCTTGGCTCAGAGAAAGGAAGATCGTAAAGCTCATTTGGCCAGTCAATACATGCAAAAAATGGCCAACATTAGAATGCAGCAAATCGGGCAACCCGTTTTCCAGCCGAGCAGCGGAGGTTATTTCGTGCCCACGATTCCTCAACCTCCTCAAAGATTCTTTGGCCCCGCGCAAATGGCACAAATCAGAACTGCAACTACGAGATGGCCGACTCAGCCGCAGTCAAGACCTGGAACTCAGCAGCCTCAAACTGCTTATCCCGCTATTCCCGGTCCTTTCAGACCAGGTCCTAGACCTCAAGCAGCTCAGCCCGCATTACGCTCCATTTCAGCGAGGCCAATCACGGGTGGGGGTCCGATGCAAACTCAAATACCTCCCCGTGCGCCCATGCCGCCAACCGTCTCCGTCAACGCAGCCCAACGGCCAACTAATTATAAATACACGGCTAACATGCGCAATCCGCCTCAAACTTTGGGCCACGTTGCTCATCAACCTCAAGTGCAACAGGTAGTTAGTTGTTATAAAAATTCAACTTACCTTTAAAATTCTTAATTTCCTTTACGAATTATTGCAATAATTTTGTTTACTTTTTCCATTTCAGGCTGTCCACGTTCAAGGTCAGGAGCCTTTAACCACGACCATGTTGGCAGACGCTCCGCTTCAAGAACAAAAACAAATGTTGGGCGAACGTCTTTTCCCTCTTATTAGTGCCATGTATTCTAAACTGGCTGGTAAGATCACTGGAATGTTATTGGAAATTGACAACTCGGAATTGTTGCACATGTTGGAACACCGCGAAAGTTTGAAATCGAAGGTAAACTTCAAGTTTTTTTTTTTTTTTTGTTTTGCACCTACAAAGAAAAAAAATACAATTGCGATTGTATTAAATGTACTATTATTATTATTATTTTCAGGTTGAGGAAGCTGTCGCCGTTTTGCAGGCTCACGAAGCTAAACAAGCAGCCGCGGGAAATAAAGAGTAAAAAAAAAAAAAAAAAAAAAATTCAACACACATTTAAAAAAATTTTTACTTTCCATCCCTTTCTTCACTCTTCTATTTCACTACAATTGCATACTTTATTTACTTTAAGTTCTTTATTTACTTTTTTTTTTTTTTTTTTTCTTTTTTTTTTTTTTCTTTTTTTTTTTTTTTTTTTATTTAAACTTGCATTATCCATTCTTGGTGTATGTTAAGTCATTTTAAAAAAAAAAATTTTTTTTTAACACAAAAAAAGGAAAAAAGGAAAAAAGGAAAAAAAAAACGAAAAATTTTTTAAAAAAAAAAAAAATTTTTTTGAAAACAAAAAAAAAAAAAAAAAAAAAAAAAAAAAAAGTTGAACATTTTTTTTTTATAAGCGTTGGTTAAAAATTTTTTTTTTTTTTTTTTTTTTTTAAAAAGTTTAAAAACGGGAAAGACAAACAAAAAAATAGGAAAATTTGAAAAAATTTTAAACTAAAAAAAAAAAAAAAAAAAAAAAAAAACCCTTTTTTTTTTGTCTTTTTTTTCTTTTAAAGAAAAAAAAGAAATACCATAAGTTTTTAATTTTCAAATATAATAATAATAATAATAATAATTATTTAAAAAATATTTTTATATTTCTTAAATAAATAGGCATTGCGAAAATGGCCCCAAAAAAAAAAAAAAAAAACAGTTAAATTGTACTTTGATTTGTGCAATTACTCAGGTACATTTAAATAATAATAATCCCAGCCTTACGACTGAAAATCGTGTCATAAGAAACAATATTTAGGTACAGCAGCAGCAGCCGCCCCCCGCCTCTGTCGCCGCCTGTTTATTATAACTTCAATGCCTTAAAAAACTTTTTAAGTAAAAATAAAATAAAAAAAAAAAAACATAAACAAAAAAAAAGCAAAAGTAAAAAATGTTTAAAAAAAAAAAAAAAAAGAAAAGGAGAATAGATTGAAAATTATACTTATGTTATTTTTTTTTTTTTTTTACAACTACAACAACTATTACTATTATTATCATTATCATTATCATTACTATTATTAAGAAATTATAATTTTCTCATTCTCACAACAAAAACAATATTCATTACCTTTTCCTCCATAATATTATGGATCATTTGAACGACCTCAATGAGTTTTATATGTAATTAATTAATTGTACGAATGAAACTTTTATCATTCAACGTAAATCTCTACACGTTTTTTTTTTTTTTTTTTTTCGTCTCTTCTCTTTTCTTTTTCTTCTACTCTATGATAAGAGAGAGATGGAGAGAAAGAAAGAGATGGACAGATAGGGGAAAAAAAAAAGAAGAAAAAAAAAAGGAAAATTTATATAAAATCCAAAAAAAAAGTTTTATTATCGTGTAATTAAGACAATCTATCATTTAAATAAAGGAAAAAAAGATTAATTAAAATTAAAATTCATTGTTTTAATTATTGTTTTTGTTGTGAGATATTTTGTCAGCATTTAAAGTACCAACATTAACTGTTAAATACATATAATGGGTTATGGTACAACGATTAAATATATTAAAATAAATTTTTAAATAAATAATAATAATAATAATAATAAATTAATAAATAAAAAGATTTGTTTGTTTCTTACTTTATTTTATTTCATTTCATTTCCTTTCCTTTCACTTTTATTTATTTATTTATTATTAATAACAAGGATTAACAAACTAACTTGTGTATGTGTCCGCGTCACGTGACTTAACCGTTAAACTGAACGACTAACAAGCGGGAAAAAAGTGAATTAATTAACGAACGATTTATCGATATATCGATCGATAGATCGATTATTTTTAAAACTGTCGCGCATTTGAAAAATAAACATGGATGGATAAATATGGATGATTAATGGATAAACTTGGTAAGTTTTTTGTTTTTTCTTTCTCCCCCCCTCCCTCCCTCCCTCCCCGGATAATTTTAACGTTTAAATGGAAAAAAAATATTGAATGAAATTAATTTAAATAATAAAAATAATATTTTATATTATTATTTTATTTTTACATAAAAATAGATTAATTAGTTTTCACTCGAAATTTAAAAAAAAATAATAATAATTTTCACATAAATTTTTTAATTTTTTTTTTTTACGTTCGTATCGATTGGAAAACAAAAAAATAATAATAATAAAAAGAGATTCTATTAAAAAAATATTATGTTTATTTATTTATTGATTAATGATTATTATTATTATTATTATTATTATTACACGATTTAAATATAATATAACTGACTGTTTTAAAAATAAATTTTTCTTTACTCAATCATTCAATCAATCAATCAATCAATCAATCATTCATTCATTTATTTATTTATTATTATGCATTTAAACAATTTTTTTTTTTTTAAAATAATTTCATTCGAATTCTTTTCTTTTTCCCTGAATGATTAAAAAAAATTATTTTAAATGCTTTTATGATAGTGAATTAAATTAATAACAATAACTTATTATTATTATTGTTAATTTTTTTGCTAAAAACCAAATTGTTGTTGTTCTGTGTAAAAGGAAGACGTAACAACAAGCAATTCACGTTTTATAAATTTTTTTTTTACTTTCTTTATAATGATGTTGATGATAATAATAATAAAACTTTAATTATTTTTCTTTTGTTTTTCTTTCTCATAATCACAATAACGTCTTTAATATAAACATACATCATTAGAATTTTCCGGATACTTATTTTAATAAGTAATCAATTGATTAGTTCATTAAAAAAAAAAAAGAGAAAAAAGTTACATTTTCATCATTTTTTGAGCAATTTATTTTGCATGGCGATTTCATCGAAACAGTGAAAAGCCATTTTAAAAAATCAGATTTACTCTAAACATTTATTTACAGATTTTTTAAATTTATAAAAAAAATAAAATTTTCTTTGACATTCTATATATATATATATTTTTCTTCCTTTCCTTTCTAATTACTACGATCAAAACCTTTTTTTTTTTTTTTTTTGTTTCAGTCTCGAGAATTAGCTTTTCTAACAAACAAACAAAACTTTCTGAAGTCATTTATGAGATTATTCATAAGTTAAACATGTAAAAAAATAATGATTCATTCATTGATTTAAAAAAAAAAAAAATTGATTGATAAAAACTGTCGATTGCAAAAAAAAAATCATATAAATAAATAAATAAAAATAAAATAGAAAAAAAATTAAATAAAACGTGAACGGAGAGATTTAAAGAGGGGAGGAAGGAGGGAGGGGAGAAGGGGGCGGGGGAAAATCATACTGGGAGGAGTCGCTCCCCCCCCCTCATTCATCATACACAAAAAACACTTCCTTGATTCTTTCCGAGTCTTTTGTTGCGAGTGTTAAAAAAGTCACACTCGTTAATAATTTTACGTTTACGTTATTGTTATTGTTATCATTATCATTATCATTATTAATATTATTATTACGGGCAGATATGATGAAATCGATTTAGAAATTTTGTTGTCTTTTCCTTTTTTGATCTATCGCATCTAATATTGGTTGTCTTTTGATTTGATATCGTCTCCTCAATTCGTCAATTTCCCTTTCCATTTCCGAATCTAAACTCGCCATTCTTTTCTGTAAATCTTCGTAACTGAGAAACTTGAGCTTAAAAACCAAAATAATAATAATAATAATAATAATAATAATAATAATTTTGCGGCGGAACAAAAATAATAAATAATTAAAATGCCTTCTTACAAAGTCTAAATCCCCGTCTAAAAATGATTTTTGAAATTTAACCGGTTGATCTCTCGGATTTGAAATTCTCACGGGCTGTTGCTGTTGTACAATATTATTCTGCGGTTCGTTTTGATTTATTTCGTGCAATTGAATTTGTAAATGATTTTGAAACCTTTGCCTTTCCTCGCTTGACATGACGGGTGCTACGGATTCATTCTGGTTTTTAGGTTTAAAAAAGAATCGTTTAATTAATCCGAATAAATAATTTATGTTTAAAAACAACCATTTCCATTTTTTTTTTTCTTACTTGATCGTTATTTTCCTGGATGCAATCATCGTTTCTGGGAGGTTGTTGAAACGACGGCGACGACACAATACTTTCCTTCTTATCGAAATGATCTAAAAATAACGGTCTATATTTTTTACCAGATTCACCCGGTCCCGTGTCGTGCCCTGAAAAAAATTTTTTTATCCTAAATAAAATCTTATCGAAAATTTTTAAAATTAATTTTTTCAGAGGCATAATTTACTTTTCATCGTGGATTCATCTTCCGTATCACTGTTTATTAACATTGTACCGAGATCAACGACGGATGGCACCAATGTTCCGCAGTCCATTGTTTCTTTCGATGGCACTAAAGTTCCCTCTTCTATATAATTTACCAAAGTTTTATTAATATTCTCTTCTTCGTCCTTGATACCAAAATAAAAAGAATTTTCAATTAAACGATCCGAGAAAGAACGCGAAAGAAGACGACGTGAAAAAAATATTAATTAATCATACCGATTCCTCCGTTTGATTAACTTTATTTCCGGAAGTATTCGCTGAAGTATTTCTATATGTTTGATTCTCTCTAATTTCTCTAGCTTCGGCTATCATTTGACTTAATATGGTGGGCGGTTTGGCATTTCCTGCAATAAATTTATACAATTATCAATTATAAATAGTCACAATAATTTGCAAAATCATTAAATGACTTTAAATTAAATTCATGTACCTATAAATTCATGTAAAAGCAATTGACTGGCAGTGGCACGTTCTTCTGGATTTTTAACTAAACATTTTGTAACAAAATCTATAAATTCACTAGACCATCTATCGGGTTCCCTAAAACTTGGAGGAGGTTTAGTCGGTATCATAAATATTGCACGCATAGGATGAATATCACCTTAAATAAATTAATAAAAAGAAATTGAAAATTATGATAAAGAAAAACTTGTGTTTTAAATAAAAGAAATAAAGTTTTTACCATAGGGAGGTTTGCCCTCTGCCATTTCCAAAGCAGTTATTCCAAGGCTCCAAATATCAGCAACGCAGTCATAACCGATTTCTTGAATAACTTCAGGTGCCATCCAAAATGGCGTTCCAATTACTGTATTTCTTTTAGCCATCGTATCCTAAATAAAAAACAACAGTTGTAAAGTAAAAGAGAAAATTTCTTTTTTTTAATTTTACAAAATACTTACTGTTAGTTGTCCTGCAACACCAAAATCTGCCAATTTGGCATATCCTTCGGTGTTAAGCAAAATATTACCAGCTTTTATATCTCTATGAATTTTTCTTCTTAAATGCAAATATTCCAATCCTTTTAAAGTATCCGATAATATAGTTGCTATTTCTTCTTCAGTCAATGTTTTTTTTCTAAGTCTCATGATATCAGAAACTGAACCAGCTCCACAATATTCCATCACAATCTAAATGATTAAATGCATTAATGAGAAAAATGATGTTTGCATGATAATTTACACGACGAATAAACCGTTACCCATAAATCTGTATTTTTAAAATAACTTCCATAATATTTAACAACATATGGCGAATCACATTGTTGCATAATAGAGATCTCTTTAATTATTTCTTGTAAATCAGTGTCGACAGGCACTTGTTTAATAGCTAAAACTTGACCAGACTCTTTGTGTAGGGCTTTGTAAACGCTACCATAACTTCCTTCTCCGAGTTTACAAATTATATCGAAAACTTCTTCAGGCTGCCTGGTCAGGCTTTCTTCAGATAATTTTTTTAATTCACTATGAAAAAAAAAAATTTTTTTCAATTGTATTTAAAGTGCATTATTCAACATTATTTATAACAAATAATGAAAATTTATAAATTAAAGGTTTTAATTGAATAAAATAGTAAAATAAAAAAAAATTTCACTCGTGACATTTTTCTTTAAAGTTTCAAATTTTCAAGGTTTAATAAACTTAAAAGTAATTTGATGTTTACAGAATGCTCATATTTCATTTTCAACAAATTATGGGAAATTCTTTTGGATAAAAAGACCAAATTTACATTTTCCTAATTTTTTATATAATTTTTTTAATCCAGTAAATGGTCAAAATAAATTTTAGATAATGAGTAATTATTCAATTTTTTAAGATAAGAGAACAAGTGTTTAACCACAACTACTTTGCAAAAAAAAAAAAAAAATTACGAGTAATTGTGAAATCAAATATAAAAGCAAATGTATTTCTAGATTTTTCTACGGATGTTTATTCTAGATAAAAGTATTTTGTTAACAACGGTGTAAAAAATTTACTATTATTTAAAACCGATTTGTAAATAAAATTTCAAAATCTAATTGACACATGTATGCAAATAAAGTATTTGCCGACAAATTTATAGAATTAATAAAAATCGAATAAATTAAAAAAATAAAAATTATTTACCTCTTAGAAGACATTGTTTATAATTTAAAAAAATACTACGAGTGAAAAAATCATTGATAAAATAAAAAAAAATGCGTGAAAAAAATAAAAATTAAAAGAATACATAAAATTTAAAAAATATACGTAACAGCCATCTTGCTCAGCTAGTTTCTTATTAGGCGACAATATTCTCGTTCAATGTCTGATTACACGTTAATTTTTTTTTTTTTTTTTTTTTTTTTTTAATTGGAAATTTTTAAAACTTAATGTAATAAAATTTTTTAGTATTAATACTAAAAAAACTTTTTCGTTTATAAAATTTAGTTACCGATAACTATGCCCAAAGTAAAACTACACCCGGAGTTCTTTTTTCATATACAAACATGGATTAAAAAATAAATAAGCCCAAATTTAGCAATTTTAATTTTATGTAGTGTGTATTTTATGTAGTTTTATGTATATATATAATTAATATACATTAGTAGTGAATAAGTGTTGCATTACATGTATAACCAATAATTTGTAAATAAATAATAATTTGATTTCATTATAATATCTTCACAAATTCATCGTTTTCAAACAATATTTTCAAAAGTATCTTAATTAGAATTTTTCGATTTTACTTTAAAAGTAATGAATTAATAATATAAATTGTAATTTTTGTATTTTTGTTTTATTAAAATTATTTTAAATATTTTCTTTAATAATTATTTTTAATAGATGCAACTTTATTGTTATTTTCATAAATTGTTATTAAAATAATTTGTTTTTTTTTATTATTTTTATGTGACTTTTTTTCATTAATTATTACCCATTACACATTTTAGCTTTTTTTTATTAATATTTATAATACAATTTTTTTTTTATCGATTTCGATCAGACTCTACTCTATCTTCGACAACGACACAATGACACATTATATCATAAGTTGTTCTATTAAATTTATTGAATAAAAAAGGAAAACAAACAGGAAGAAGTAAAGAAAGGACAACATTTTTTAACAAAGCCCTAGCCATGGACCATGCAAAACCTAAATCAGTAGCCGGATACACTCTTACAACATTTGGTCGATTTTCAACTTGTTCTACGAGACTACACAAAACAACTCTTAATCCCATAAATCTTTTTCCTAATGTAGCACCTCCATATTGATTTTGCATTCCTTTGCTCAAGAAAATTGCCTAAAAGCAGTTGTTATTATTATTTTTAATAACATGCATAAATAACTCTCCCAGAATGATTAATAATATTTTATAAAATTTAAAAAAATATTTTTCATTTAATTTAAACATACTAACTTCATACAAACAAACTATAAATTTATATAGTAATTCAAATGATAAAATTTTAGAAGTGATTTCTAAAACAACTTTGTAATCCATTTTTTCCTGTTGCTGTTGAAAGTTGTATTCATCAATATTACTAAAAAAAATAATGATTGATAAAAATTGATGATATCAATTCTTCTTTTATAATTGTATGTTAAATATTCACTTACATAATATCGAAAAAATCAACAGCTACAAATGTGATGGCCATTTTTAAAATAAATAAAAGAACAAAATCTACTGCTTCAGCAATAAATCTTTTCCAAAAAGGAGGTATCACATATTCCACACCTGTAACATACATACACTTAAATTTAATAATTATTATCAATTGAATTTAGTTTACAACAGAGTACTACCCTCATCAGGGATGTTTTGAGGTTGTTGTTGCTGTTGCTGCGGTTGTTGTTGATTACGGAAACTTTGCTGTTGATGATATTGTTGCTGAGTAGGTCGTAAATGAGGAAATGGAGAACCTCCCTGATCAAGTAATGAATTATTAGATATAAAATTGCCAAGGTTTGGAGGTGTGAAACCATTCATCTGTTGCGCAAACATAGCATAAGAAAATCCAGCAAACATATTACATGAATATCTATAAGATCGAACGTCATTTAACCATTGTTCTAAGGCTTGAAAATATTCTGCGTTAATTTGACTTTTAGACTTTTCATTTTCACCGTTACTTTGACTCCTAAAAGAAAAATTATCTTCGTTTTTTTCTTTTATTTTAGGTTCCTTTTGCACCATTATTAAATTATAAAACGGTTTAAAATTCAGACAATTCTCTGTAAAAATTAAAAATAAATATTATAACTCTGATACGGAGCAAAACGCAGATATCGATTACAGTGGAAAGTTGGCTATCGTGTAAATTTTTCTTATTTAAGTTGGCAAACTGAGGTTTATTGCTTGAGTATATAACTTTGTTATTGTACAATTTAGAATTTTTCAAATAATTTATTCATCATGGCTATGGCAATGCAAAAGAGAGCTAACGTAATTTAAATAATTGTACTTATAATATTGCAATTTATAAAAATTATATTTTACATTTAAAATTTTTTTTACAATTTTATTTTGTAGGTGCGATTGCCACCTGAAGTAAATCGCATATTATACGTTAGAAACCTTCCATATAAAATTACTGGAGAAGAAATGTATGATATTTTTGGTAAATATGGAGCTATACGACAAATACGAGTGTGAGTGTGAATTAAATATTTGTATTGTTTATTTTGCTACTTTTCTTTAAAACCTAATGAATGCTGAATTTTTTTTGCAGAGGTAACACTCCGGATACAAGGGGAACTGCTTTTGTCGTTTATGAAGATATATTTGATGCTAAAAATGCTTGTGATCATCTTTCAGGATTTAATGTTTGTAATAGATATTTAGTAGTATTATATTATCAGGTAATGCTTTTCGTACTAAAATCCCTTTAATCTTTATAAAATATGAATATGCTCAGTTAAATTGATTTATTTTGTTAGTATCGTAATTGCTTTCGTCTTTAACGATAATATGTCAAAAATTGTTTTACAGGCTAACAAAGCATTCAAGAGATTAGATGTTGATAAGAAAAAAGAAGAATTAGAAAAAGTTAAAACAAAATATAATATATCTAGTGAAGATTTAAAAAAATAAAATAATACATGTTATTTATAAAGAAAACTTTTATCGATAATTTAAACATTACGATTCCAGAATAATCTGTGTAATTTGACTTTTGAGAAGTGTAAAGTTCCAGTTTAGAGTTAAAAAGAATTTTTACTGGGATTGTCTCGAATGTGTAAAAATGCATAATAATAATACTACAAAGTAATTATAGTTTTGCATTTAAAAACATTTTATTTAACAATGAAACTTATTGTGTTTTAATTTTTTTTGTTTCTAATAACATTTTATGATTCACTTTTCAGTATATTAACTAAATATTATTTTTTAAATGTTATTTGTAAATAATACGAGAAGTAAAATTGAAGTGAAATATTTCTGATATATTGTATTTATGTCTCATATTATTTTTGTATTATAAATGATTACAAAAATTGTAAATTTATTTAATTAAATAAAATCCTTTTTTATTATAAGTTTGATTTTGTCATAAGTACATAACTGTTTAATAAAATCAATCCAAATAGCGAAGTTAAAAATAATTTTTTTATAACCTTTACATTCGAAATAATAATATAAAATCAGTGATGTGTAATTAATATACATTTTAAGTCTGCATTTATTTAAAATTATCAAAAGTATAAAAAGAATTACACATTTTAAAAAATTACTTTCAAAAGAAATGTGATTGCTTATTCGAAATAATGTAAAAAAAGGTTATCTCTTAATAAATTCATAAATAAAAGCTATATTTCTTTCAAAACCTGAAATATTTTTATTTTAAATAAATATTAAAACCGTTTTGATAGAATAATTATCATTTTAAAATGAAATTAAATTTTTTTTTTTTTTATGGCATTTTGTAAGTTAAATGAAATGTTTAAAATTGAGCCAACATGTTATTCGGGTAGGGAATTTACGTTTTCAATGTTCATAGAAAGTGAAACCGTGGCATCCATTTTGTTTTTAGACGGAAAGTGAAAAGAAATATGGTTTAGAAGCTGTTAATCTTAAAACTGATATTTTAAAATAATACGATTTGTAATTAATCGATAACAATAAAGAAAAGTTTAACGAATAATTTTATACGTTATTTATTTCCGTTTAAATTTTTAAATGTATTTTTTTTTTTATTATTAAATTTTTTTCGGTGATTTTTCTAGAATTTTTTGTGTTGTCATTTCATTTATTTTTTATTTATTTATTATTATTATTTTGACATTTTATCCAAAATCGGTTATTGAAAAGTTAAAAGGGGAAAAAAAAAAAAATATAATCAAATTTATATTTATTAATTTAAAGTTGTTGTTTTTTTTTGTTATATATATTTTCGTAAAAAATTATTATTATTATTATTTATTAACTGTTTTATGTGATCTAATAGTATCTGTAATATAAATCCGGTTATACGTTCGTTACTTTTTCCTTTTTTAAAAGCTTTATATATTTTGTTTTAAATAATAAAACATGTTCCGTAAAAACGATACATTAAATATCTGTTTTGAAACCCGACCTTGGAGGGTCAAGAATTGTCCTCAGTAGTTCTTTGGAAGGATTTAACTGAGGTGAGTTAAATATTATCCTGTCCTGATTATTTTTGCCCCACAACTTTCCAATATCTTACAATAACCTTAAACATATATGATTATTACAAAAATATCGTTACACTTTTAAATTTTTCTAACTTTAACATTATACAATAATAATAATAATAATAAACGTGTCGTTATATCGCAGATTTTTCTCCAAGAGAGAGAGAGAGAAAAAAAAAGCGGTTTAACAAAAAAAAATTTTTATCGTGTCATTGTTATAATTTTTAATTTGATTTAATTAAATTTTATTATTATTATTATTATTATTATTACTATTCAATTACAGATAAATTAAAATGGAAAGTAAATCTGGAATTTGTAATATTCCATTACCAGTGAGAAAGGTTATATGTGTTGTGGCATGTCAGGAGCAGTTTCACAGTACATTGTGCTGCAGATGAATTTCATTTTGTGTCTTTATAATATATATCCTTCTTTATACCAGTACTGATTATTGCTTAGGTAAGTTTTATTTTATTTATTTATTAACATTCTCTTTTTGGAAAATGTACTGAATTTAAATTTATATATGTGTCAATTACAAATAATTAAACGCATTCGAAAAATTTCACCGGGAAAATATTCGAATATGAATGTATAATCGATATTGATAATAAATTTTTTAAATATTAATTTTAATAATTCAGTACATTTTAAATTTCTTTGTAATTTTTATTGTTTTTTTGAGGGGGAAGGAGGAAGGGGGAAGGGGGAGGACAAAAATGACTATTGATTTTAATCGAAACAAAATTATATGATATTTTTCTTCGTTCTTCGATTATTAAGTTAAAAAATTTTCCTTATGATTTTTAGTTTTTTGCATATTATTATTATTATTATTATTATTGTTTTAAAGACAAAATTAATGTTGAAAATTAATTGTTGTATAAATTTTTTTTTAAAAACTGCTGTGAGAATGTTTCGGTTGTTTTTATTGTTCAAAATTGTGGGTAATTTTTCGGTTGTCGTTACAGACAACTGACAAATGACAATAAAGGACATTGAATATTTATACAGTGATAATGTTTAACTATTGTTAAGATTTACTTTGTAACACACACACACACATACAGTATAAAATGCCTTTTTTTATTAAGGTTTTTAGTCGAAGATGTATGTATGAAATATCAGAAATGTGACAGTTGCATAAAAATTTGAATTCAGAATAAAAAAAAAAATATCGAGTTTGTTAACCATAAAATAGTAAATTATTATATATATATATATATATATATATTTATTCATCCCCCCATTATTTACATTCGTTCATTTGGAAAAAAAATTTTTTTTACCTGTATAAAAACACATCAACAACCTTTTACCTTTAGTTCAATTTACTTTTCTAATTGAATATAAATTAAAGTTTTTTTCTTTGATTGTTGTTTGATTGTTGGTTGGTTGTTGGTTGGTTGTCAGGTATTTTTAAAATAACATAAATTTTTTTATATTCACGTGTATAAATGACAAAACGTTAACTTTTGAAAGGTGTTGTTGTTGTTGTTGTTGTTATTATTATTACATTTTTGTGGGATTTTTTTTTTAAAAAAAAAAAAAAAAATTGATTGGATAATAATTTGTTTGATTCAGGTAAATGTGAATGAATGAAATTTTTAAATGATGATTAATAATAATAATAATAATAATAAATATCCGTGCGTAATTTATATATTATAAAAATATGTAGCCAAGAATGTCTGTCTAATACTAAATCTATTAATATTTTTCTTTATAAAAGGTGAAAGGTTAAATGTACTTTTTTTTTTTTATGTTGGTGGTAATTTGATTGGAAAATTTTCTTTTTCCTTTTTTTTTTTTTTTTTTTTTTTAAATTATTACAGCTTTATTAAGTTTTTAATTTAACTTTATTATTATTATTATTATTATTATTATTACTATTATTTTTTTAAATTATTGGGAAAATAATGTTTTGAGTTATTGTTGTTGATGATAAAACATTTTAAATTTCACAGCGGGGGCGAGTTAAGTAGCAATTCTTGTAAAAAAAAAAAATTTTATTATTATTATTTTTTTTTTCATTCGTATTAATTTCAAACGATTCTTTCCTCTAAATTCTCCATGATGGATTTTTATATATTATTATGTATTTAAAAAAAAAAAAAAAGTATTCGTTTTCGAAAATGTATTATATTAAAAAAATTTAAACTTGAAGGGTTTCCCATTCGGTATATTTTAGTATCAGACTCACAAAAAAAAAAAAAAAATGGAGGATGATTTTTGTTTTTGAGTTTTCACTCAGTGGCCCAGTTTTAATGTTTGAAAGTGCGTACCTGATTTATTTCACATGTGTATTTATTCATAAATCAATAGTATACCTACTATTGCGATGTGTGTCCACATATTGAATCGTCAAAGGTTGTTTTAAAATGATTATTTGAGATGATGTTGTTATTGGAATTGTGATGAAAGGCCCTGAAATGGGGGGGGGGGATGAAAAATTGAAATAATCAGAAAAAAATTGTCATTTTTTGTATGGATGATGGCCACCTTAAATACAAAAATAATGATATCAATAAATAAATGTGTGTTTTTGTTAAGGTAGGTTGCTCTTCAGGTTCCAAGTAGGTTGAAATAACTACTTTCCTTTTTTTTTTTCTTTTTTTCTTTTTTGCAAATGATGTAATGTAATAGCCATGATTGGATTTTAAACGTTGTCGAAAATGGTAAATTGTGTGGGGGAGGGAGAGAAAGAGAGAGATAGATAGATAGATAGATAGATAGAGAGAGAGAGAGAGAGAAACATTGTACATCATAATTTTTTTATTTGTTCTTTGGATTGATATTAAATCGTCTCTTCATTTCGGTTAAATTTATTAGGTTGTTAACGAATGAGGAAAAAAAAAATAAAAATTGACATTAATAAATTTATCATTTCAATTTCGAAAATATAACGAATTTGTTTGCTTGTTTGTTTGTTTGTTTGTTTGTCGTTTTTTTTTTTACAAATTGAAACACATAAAAAGATTTGTCATGTTTTTTGAAAAAAAAAAAAAAAGAAAAAATTATGATAATTATGAAATTTTAAATTTATACAGTGATGCAATAAAAATACTTACGTAAACTCAATTTTTTTTTATATATTAACATAAAAAATTTATTTACTGTTGTTGTTGTTGTTGTTGTTGTTGTTGCATTGATTAAACGTTTTTTTCTCTCTCTCTCTCTTTCGAATTATGTATTCATGTATTAATAAGTAAGCTTAACGTTTGGAAATTGAAAAATCGTATAGCTAATGTCAAATATTTCAAAATTGTTTTGCGGAGTAACCTTGTGTTGTAGTAGACCTTGTAGTCAAATATAATAATAATTTAAAGTTTACAATTAATGTTAACTATAACTATATATATATATATATATATATATATATATATATATATATATATATATATATATATATATATATATATATATATATATATA